GTGTGTGTGTGTGTGTGTGTGTGTGTGTGTGTGTGTGTGTGTGTGTGTGTGTGTGTGTGTGTGTGTTTTCCTGTCTGTCACGAAATTAGCTCATTCGTCCTAAGGAAGTCAAAGAGCAGTTATCAAACGTTACAATGTTAACTGCAGAACACTAAGTAAACATGAGCAATTTTGTTGTGAAAACGTGGTAAGCTGGTTGTTCAATTCGATCTGCTATGAACGGGCTTTGCGGTCAGGATAAAAGACGTCTCCATCTTTCTTCTTTAATAAGATGTTGAAAGGTATGACCAAAACGTTCAAAACTTTCAGAAGAAGTGCGCATATGATGGCTTATTGGATTAAGTTCAATACTTTCTCATAGTGTTAACCTAGCTCACCTAAGCGGCAGTGCGAGCCTCTCCGAAGGAGAGGTGAAGTATGAAGGTATCCTTTTAAATTCAATATAATGTATACAATATAATCTATATAGCTCTAGCAATAATTAAATCGCCTTTTCCGAAATATAACGTGACATCATTCGACAATAACTAATAATTGTTGCCGCTGCAACAATATCGTTCCTCTGGAGCCATTCTGAACTCTTCCATTGTAGCGTTAATTTTATACCGCCTGAGCCTATCCCTTCTCCGCAGGTGTTTGGCGACAGCATTATTCTGAAAGAATCCTAGTAGCAGTTAAAGCTTTTGAATACGCCAAGAATACTAAGAAACTTCAAATCTAGCTCTCACCTCATTCGCGTGTAGCACTTTGGCCAAGGCTAATGTGTGCTGCTCCCGGAAGCATTCCAGAAGCTCTTCAAAGGGGGGATTGATCCGCCTTGACAATATGCTACGAAGCTTTCTAAAAAATACTATTTTGAAAAGCGACAAACAGTAATTACCTGAGGACAACCTATGAAAAGCTTCAGCTATGTTGGTTGTGCGCAATTCCTGTAGATTTCATTTGCACTACATATCCTGAAAACACCAGTAAACCATATATAACCATATATACATATAACCAAATAAGTCAAAAAGTTATTGCAAGGCTCATAAGCAGGATGGCCTAAGTTTACTGGCGAGATTGAAGGGCTGGCACTCTAAGAAGAAGATGTTCAGGCAAAAATATGACCCCTTCCAAAGTTTTCCACCAAATCATAACTGCCCCAATCTTCTTCGGTTCCTTAATGAACTGCCTAAGCCCTAAACCTCCAGTTTTGCGGTTCCGTGCTTGATGGAAAGCACATCCTTGCACGTCCGCATTTGGAAACGTTTCTTTTGCAGCTCGGATTGCAGCCTGAAAACGAGAAGGATCAACTTCATTGTGCTTTGTCAAACTAACTCACCTTTTCATAGTCCAATATAAATCGTAATCTTCCATCGCGTATCGGTCCACTAAGTTGTCCAAATATGTCCTTATACGTGTTTACATTCTTATAGCGTGCAATGGCATAGAGGAGAGGGACATAAATGGTTTTAATATGATAGGTTTTTGTGCCAGCCATACTGTGATGAAGTAACACCTCGATTCCTCCGCTGATAACGGCATGAAGGATGTAAAGCTGCCCCTTGTCCATCCTATTGGGCGTGCTTAGAGGATTAAGTTTATGCACGCCGTCTCCAATAATCGCCGATAGCCCATTTTCACATGTCAATTAAAATAAGTCTGCATGAAAGCAGTGCAAGAAATTAGTTCTGTACCGAAAGAAGAGAAAAACTTACTCGAATGAGCTCCTCTGAAAAATAAATGTGAAGATTCTCTGTCTGCATCTTCAGAAACTCCTCGCCAC